GAAATCTTGAAAGGGCAATTGTCATTCAGCTGATATCTAGCCCTCTTTGCTATGTTTTCCGTACGATTTGACGTTCTTTGCTATTATACGGAACTAGTCGATAAAAAGTTATCTATAGAAAATAAACTTACCCCACGGGTACAAGTACAATCAATTCTTCTCTTTTTAGTGTGCAGCTGTGACCTTTGGAATATTTTCTTTCTGCCATCACTGCCAATACACTTCATGCATAACTCGTAATCTTCTTCTTTTCTTACATTTCGCGGAAGAGAGAAAAAACGCATTCGTTCTCTCTTTCTACCAAAACATAAAAGCAACGCTTAGTAATACACATTTCTCTTCCTTTTCTTGTATTGCTACCTTTTATACTTTTGTATTGTTCATTTCTCATTTTAGTAAACTAACAGACGGCAGTGCACGCACAAACAAACACATCATTTTTTCATTAAAATTCTACTAAACCTTAACAGAGTAAGTAATTTTACAGATTTTCAACTCTAGTAGAGATTATGCATAAATTCAAGTTACTGCTGGGCAAATCCACACGATACATACCACGATATACAAAAGCGTTGTCACCAGGGGCGAGATATACCTCACCTAATGCAGTTTAAAACGCTGAATCCACTGGTAAAAACTACAGCTCTCTATCTCGTGCAAAAAAAAGTTATTCGCATTTTATTCTCGCAGCACAAAAATGCATTTTTAACCGTTTTCGAGCAGAAAGGATTTATTCTGGAAAGCTTATAGAAACTACAGCCCCTGTCTTAGAACCTTGAATTTGGTCTCAAATGAAGGATCTCGTAGAGTACCAATATCGTTCAAAAAAGTCGTGTCAGACAGGTGGCTCTTGAAAAAACGATTTCTGAAAACCATGGTATTCCAGCAAATTTAAGGAACTTGAAATAGATTCCAAAATGTTTCTAACCACGTCAATCGATACTCCGATGAATTCTGCACAAAATGAGACGTCAAACAAGTTTTCAGGGCACTGGATGACCGAGTTACTAGTGAAAAATGCCTCGAAAGTTTTCACTTAATCTGTATTTTGTTTCTCGTCGTATTTCCTCTGTTATTTTTCGACAGATCGTCTTGGAAACCTATTTAACGTCTCTTTTTGTGCATAATTTAGCGAACCATCTTGACGTGGTCAAAAGAATTTGAAACCTATTTCAAGATCCCTAAATCTTCTGGAATACCATGGTTTTCAGAAATCGTTTTTTCAAGAGCCACCTGTCTGACACGATTTTTTTTTATCAATATTAGTGGAACTCGATGAGATCTTTTATTTGATTGAAAAATGTACTTTTTTCGTTTTTAACGACCAAAAAACGCGTTAAACGTTTCAAAACCAACGCTTTTTTCTTTTATCTATTCGTTCGAAAAGGCATTTTTCGGAATTTCACAACGCGTTACTTTTCCGTTAAAAACGTACAAAAGACACGTTTTCAAACGTTCTAGAACGCCTTTTTTGATCATTAAAAACGCGTGAGAACAGAACATTTTGGTAAAGCCAAAGGTGGGGCTGGGCTACTCAGTGGAACTTCATCTAAAAATAGTTGAAAGTCTATAATTTTCTCCTGAGCTTGTAGAACAAACAGTTTTCTAGAAACTGGTACACTTCTTGAATTTTCGCCTTCACTCTTTTAGAAACGTTTTCCAGATAGCCCCCAAATCAATCTTTTGAGCGGTTTGTACAACAGCTGTATTTTCATAGCGAATCGACGTTCAGAACCGAGATACTTCATTTTATAGAGGAATGTTTAATCTACTTAATTATCTAGTTGCAATTTTTTAGATTAGTTTGTAGCTTTATTGTAATAATTTTTTGAAAAAGAGTGAGAAAAGGAGACCATTCGCTGGACAAGCCGTAAAGTTAAGAGTGTCTGAATGATGAAGACAAAGAGTTTGTCTTTTTATTTTAATTTTAGTTACATACAAAAAAAATTATCAGTCCAGTTTCAGAAAGTTTCGGTTCGATTCGGTTCTTTGGTTACAGTAAAACGCGAACGGATCCCATCTCTGGAATTTACCCTGCTGCTAATATTCTTTTTAGACAGAAGAATATGTTTTTAAAAATGTTCTAAAGGAAACACATAACTATGTTTAAAGTCTTAATAACAATAAAATACCTGTCTGTATCATTCGAGGATTCGGCAAGTCTCTAAACGAAAACATTTCCAAGAACACTTTCAGACGTATTCTTTGTTTTATTCATATGATTCCTCAAGCGCTGAATAATATTATAAGTGCAAATTTTCTTTCTTTTATCTTAGAAATGACTGCGTTCACCACCTCAACAGCTGCTGCATTAGTTGCCCCAAAGCATATTCATCATGAAGCAACGCATTTACATGATACATACAAAGCAGTAAATGATTTGCTGGAATATTTGTACGACTCGTACAACGGTTTTCACAGCTGCGCCGACGATATAAACGATACAATGTTGAAATCATTGTTCGTTCAAATTGCTTCAACCAGACATCAAATGATCTCGGAATTAACAACAGCTGTACAACAGTTGGGTCAAGGTAAGAAGGCAAAGTAGTGTGCACAGGCTTCGTAAACGTCCCACTATGTCTTTCTGGGTTTTCCCCTACGCTTTTAATTTTCGATATTTCTACTAAATTTACAGGTAAAAAGGTAGTTTACGTTTTATACAAAGGTGAAGTCCGCATAAGAACGGTAATTGGCCCACTAACAATAACCCCTCTAATCAGTCACAACCTCATTAGAATCACATCTGATTATCATATTCGATGATTTCGACCCTTCCGAACGCTCTGAGTCGAATATACCCGACAGAATCTACTTGAAACCAAGCAACAGTTTAGCACCAACAGTATGACTGTAAAATCAACATTTCTCAGTAACCATACTATATTCAGCCTAGCGCAATACATCATTCGATGCGCCATGAAAAGCTCTACAATACGTGTTAATAGGAAACTTAACGAAGCTTGATAGCGGCCGTTATGAATCAAATACTAGATTTTTTCATAGGTGGCCGCTATGCTACTCGAACCGTCCTTCACTTTTCTCTATGAAACTAAAGTTGATCTCTAATCATTCATACATCATTCGATGCGCCTTGAAAAGCTCTACAATATGTGTTAATTGAAAACTTAACGATGCCTGACAGCCGCGTTTGGGATTTTAAATACTACGGCGCTTTAACGTAGAATGGCTTCAAAAATTGCTCGCCACCTTTATTTTTGATTTTTCTCGTAGACCGTACAAGCTAGAACAAATTTGAAAAAAGATTGAACAGCTGATAGAATTTGGAATTTGCTGTGCTATTTAAATGGGTTCTATCATAGCTCTTTAAACCAGGGTCTCTGGAAAACCAAAATCTCAGAAAACCAACTTAGTTCAATCTAACAATTCGTTGCAAAAAGTCCATTCTGTAGAACAAACATTCCTGAAGAAAATGAGACGCCTCCAAGCTATTTATGGCACTTTTTAGCGAATCAGCATTCAATGTACGGAAGGCCCTACGCTTGTTTTTTCGTGAGTTTTGCTGGTATGGGACAGTCGGTACATTGCATCAACTTTAGTTTCATAGAGAAAAGTGACAAAGAGTTGCCGTGGTATAGCCACGACCGATCGAAAAGTCTAGTTTTAAATTTATAAAACATGCTGCCCCATCTCGTTAAGTTTCTCATTAACACATATCGTAGAGCTTTTCAATACGCATCGAATGGTGTATTGTGCTAGGCTGAATATAGTATGGTTACTGAGAAATGTTGATTTTACAGTCATACTGTTGGTGCTAAACTGTTGCTTAGATTCTGTCGGGTATATTCGACTGAGAGCGTTCGGAAGGGTCGAAATCATCGAATATGATAATCAGATGTGATTCTAATGAGGTTGGGACCGATTAGAGAG